TGCTTCCATGTAATAAGTAGATTCACAATTTATTTTGTTTTCTTTAATAAAAAAGGCATAAACTTTGATATGAAAACTTTCATTTTGCTTTACGAATTTTGAATAAAAGATTTTTTAATGGTACTCTTTTATTATTTTTCTAATTAACATTTGTGTTTTTGAGGAATGCACGCCTTTTAAATAATAGCCTTATTATGAACTTTTTTTCATACTTTGCCTAAATAGCATTTGTCATTCTATAGAATGCCTAGGTATTATATACAATGCCTAGGAAAAGTATATAATAAATCTCATATTTCATACTTTGCCTAAAAACGCCTGGCATTCCATACAATGCCTAGGTATTCTGTAGAATGCCGGCATTTCACACATTGCCAGTGACAGATATATTTTAGATGATATAGGCAGCTAAAATGAAATAAAAATTAAGGGCCTCCGCCACTGCCATAAAGTGTCACATCCTCTACTATTCACAAGTTTGGTAATCATAAGAGAAACATTTATAAGTCTATTATACGATGAAGTATTAAATTAGTTTATTTTTTTAGATGCGAAGATTTAATCGAAGTAAATGATATATTTTTTGAAATGACCCTCGTTAGGATTAATCAGAATATACATGGTGGTCATAAAATATTAAACTCGTTTCAAAAATTAATAAAAAAAGCAACCTAATAATGTTACAACTACTTTTTTTAAATGAGAGAGCAAATAAAAAAGTTTATTCAGATAGGTAACGCGGCATTACTGCGTTCTAAATTTGCTACAGCTAGAGAATTCCATACGCAATGCCTGTAGATCGTCAGAAGCCGATGCGCGTTTTCTGGTTTACTTTTTTAGTTTTTCTTGTAAAATATCGAAAAACATTTAGTTTTCACACTACAGATGAATTAACAAATTAAAGAGCGCAAAATTCCCTACAAACGCATGATCTTATTTTTCTTCTAGCTTTGATATTTTCACAGATAATGGCTTTCAAAAATGGGAGCCGTTCAAAAATTTACGACCATCGTAACAAAGCGTTACCTATCTAAAAAAATTAAAATACTCTCTCATTTAAAAAAAAACATTGTTGTAACAGTATAGGGGCTTTTTTCTATTAATTCTTGAAATAGGTTCAATATTTTATAACGACCCTGTACATTTTCATTCTCGGCTTCTTGTATGCAGAAATAATACATGCTTCCGCAACACTAAGAAGCCAGAGAGTCGTTTTCAAATTTTTTCGGGACGAATTCGAAATGATCAGATGTTACAATTTTATATTCAAAGAAACTTCAAACATTTTTTTCAAATATACTGGGTGATAATTTTGGTGTAAATTAAAATCTGAATTTTGGTTTCTGAATTGGGGCAACCACAGGATATTAAGGATATTCTGATTACGAAATTCCATCTCTGAATAGCTTGTGTTTTATATCTCAGATGTTTTTAAAATGTACCTAATTAGGATTAATTATAATATATATATATATATTATTCTCGGCTGTGGTACGAATGAGAAAACTAACCAAAAATCTAATTTAATTGTTAAATAAATAAAATTATTTGCGCATTCCTCAGAATTACCATTCGGTAAGGCTTTGTTTTATTGACAATTTTGTTGAATAGCTTAAGAAGAAAGTTAGTTTGTTGGTCTGTATATATGCTTGATTTCAAATGAAAATTTTTAAAATGGCCGAAGTAGGGAAAGGTTGTTGTATGCGAACCACCTAAACATTTTTTTTTAATTTGTACAGTGATGGAAAAAAAATTAATAAAAAAAGTAGTAGAATCTTTTTGTAGTTTAGTTATCCTAAAAAATATAATTAACTTTTGAAGAAATACACTTTAAAGTAGAAAAAGAAATAGCTTCTTAAAATTCTGAAATCGATACAGTTAAAGAAATTGGTTTCCCAAACTGCACCACCAATTTTTCAAATTCAACCACACAATGTGTGAACCGAAGGATGACATTTTATGCACTGTATCATTTCTTCTTCTTAGTTTGTTTGCTCACACATTAAAGCCTTAGCTTTTGTTCTATTTGAATCATGTCTTTAATGTTCTTTTTATTGCGTCTTTTTGGTTTGATTTGTTCCATATCCATTTATGAGGAATATCAGTTATTATAATTGCTTTCTGTGCTATTCCTTAAATTCGTGAAAATAACCCCCTTGATTTGATTAGTCCAATCTGAGCAAATTTTGGACAAAAAAAACCTAACTTTATCTATAAGCTATTTTAATGAAACATAAGTTGTATCCAATCAAGTTTCCTGTCTATGAATATAATAGCATATTTTGCTACTTACTTTAAATCAAAGGGCTATTTAAATTAAGAGCTATTTGTGTTTTTCTAAAAATAATCAATTGATGATATCTAAATCACTCGTTTGTTCACTATCACTTGTTCTCTAATTGTAGGTATGTAGCGCTTTCTCTAAAAAATGATTCCAAAAGCCACATTTACATCGTTGTAACATAAGTTGCCTATTTTACGGCCCAAATATTTAATAGAATTGAGGTTGCAAAAAGGCTCAATCTAGACCTACGGTCCAACTTTGGTAACTCTCCTTATTTGCAAGAAATTCAGGAACGATGAAAGAAGAATATTCGCGATACAAAATAATAATAAACTATGTATAATTTCCTAGATTACATGAACTTAAATTTAAAAAGTACATAGTTATTTGCTAGTGCTGCATCCACACTGTATTTGAGAATCATTACCTATAAATGTTGTAATTACACATACGTTTTATTACATGTACGTGGGAAGATGTATCTAAATATGACAGCAACTGAATTAGAACCGAATAAAATGTGCGCTGATATGATTGAACAGAATTTTCCTTTTGAATAAAATGAGATGACGAATTTTAAATTTGAAGGAATTTAAGTGATCTTCAACGTTTCCATCTTGGGAAAAGCAGTGCGGGTTTTTTAGAATTAATCCGAATATGATATTAAAATAATTTACTTGAATACTGCTTTACTTATTTTGAACAGATTGCTTACTATTTTGCTGAAAAATTAAGTTTCATGCAATTTGTTTGCCTATTTTTAGTGTAATTGAGCATTTAATATGTGTCAATTATTGGCTTGTGGTTTAAATAATCGTCCCCAAAAGAAATTTTTCGTTTAAAAATTTCTTCCCTCATTTCCTAATTTCAAAGCAATACAAATATCGCTATTAAATAGTTCTTAAGAATGAATAGAGGAATATTGTGTCTGAAGACAAATTTTATAAACATAGCATCACGTGCATGGAAAACAATAAGTTGTTTAGTATATCTTTTTAAGTCACAATCAGCTATTTTAGTTTTGGGAAATCAAGAAAAAAAAATACTTTTAATTGAAACTTGGAAGGTTCTCTAGTATAATATTTGTGATTTTGCAAACATATCCTTAATTATTTCTTAAAATTAAAAGGCAATATATTTTCAAATAATTGAAAGGCATGCATATTTTCAAGATTTCTCGACTATTTGGTGGAATTGAAAAGAAAATGCTGAAAACATAGGGGTTTATATAGCTTAGGACCCCATCATGTCTAAATCAGCCCCTGAGTGAAGTTGACTTTTATTTTGTAATAATTGTAATAATTTTTTGTTTTTGTTCATTAACTGTAAATAATTCAGTTTTAATTAATTTCTTATTGATTTTTAAATAATTAATTCTAACTATAAAATTCATGATTTTGTGAATGTAAATGGTATTTTGCAATTTGGATGCTGATAGATGGCAATTTGATTAATTGATAAAGTACGGTAATAGTGCTTTGTAACTTAGAATCATTAAAATAAAACAGAGAGAATCCAGAAATCTGATATATATATTAAGCACTTGATATATATTTAAAAAGAGCTCTTCAGAAGCATGTTGGGCACCAATCATTGTGAAAATGTAATAATAAGTTATATTGTTTCGTTTAACATTTTAAGTGGTAATTTCTGAAATGATTAAACTTGACTTTTATCTACTTTAGCAAATGATAAACATTTTCTCACAATTTGTTTCTTAATAGGTATGAGGCACATACTTAAAAACAACTTTACTGTTAAAATGAAATTAAAGTACTTATTTTGAGAATAAGTGAAACAGCGAAATAGTACTGATAAATGTTTGAGCTTGATTTCAAAATGTGCTCTGTGTATTCTCTTTCCTTCTTTTAAATAAACGAAGCAATAAATAAAGATAAAATTTGTTATAGACTGAAAATTGTAACTCGGTTTAATAAATTGCATCATTTTTTCGTACATCAAAATTATCATTTTTATAACTTTTGCAGAGTAAATTTATAAACGAGTTCCTTTTACAATCAATTTTGTTGAGAAGCAATTTCTTTTCTATCCTATTCATGTATTTTCAATTTATTTAACATTACTATTAACTTATATCGATTATTTATATTTTAATTTAAATTATATCGGTATTAGTTATTTGTTTGAGAATAACTGTTATTAAGGTCCTTAGCATTTTCCCACGGAAGCATCATTGAAGCAAGGGGCACTGACATCGATTGACTGTTATATGTCAATTGTTTTCAATGCGCTAAAGCCACGCTAAATCATATAGACATCGATAAAGTTTACAATACTGCAACCTTTCCAACGCTTGTGCGCAAAGGACACTACTTAATGACTTAGCGCTAATGAGGCTGTGCGCAAGTTCCACAATACCTTTGAAATGTAGGTTGACAGCGGGTATCAGATTACCCGTACAAAGGGAGCCTTTGCGGGACAAGGCATGCCCTTGATCGCCCCCCCCCCCCCTCCGGGTCGGCGACTGCAAAAAAAAAAATAAATAAATAAAATAATCGTAGTCCTCGAGTTCGGTTCGAGGCTGTGATACGGCTTGTCAATAAAGATTTTAAGACCTCCTCTTCACCGCCACCGTTAGAGGGCGCGTTCCTCGACACTGGTTTTTCGTTTAGGTACACGGCAGCCGTAAGTGAATATTTAAAAGCCCTCTCATTCTGTTTTCCACAATAATACGAGCATTGAACCTGTAAATGTAGACTCGGTGGCGCAACGGTAACGCGTCTGACTCCAGATCAGAAGGTTAAGCGTTCAAATCACGTTTGGGTCAAAGCTTTATTGCGACATCAGTGTTGAGATATCTTTTTCGCAATGATCTCTAATACTAATAAAGATGAATGTGTGTCTGTCGGCGGTGTACAGAACAGACCGTAGAACATAGAGCTACCAAATTTGGCACAGATATACTTTGGATGCTGAAGATGTGCACCTCGGAGCCGTTTTTTTTAAATTTTAATTCAAATTTAAATTATTTAAAAATTAAACCAAATTTCGTCGTTTTTTGCCAATAACTTCTAAATGAATTGATTGACAAAGAAATTTTTCATGTCATTTTAAAGAGCAA